TGTTGTCACCTATTTGTCAAACAGAAATGCAGAAAAATGTGGAGAAGATACTATTTTAATTAATTTTGTGCCCTGAACACCTGTTAACCTTGATATTTTTTTTTCACCATCTTAGAATTTTCAATTCCTTTTTGACAAGGAGTCCAGCATTTTCATTTTGCCCTGGGCCCTGCATATCCTATAGCTGGTTTTGAGTGTTAGGCCAAGAGAGTGTAAAGCCAGCTTACAGTAGTAGTTCCAGCTGGATAAAAACTGTTAGTCCTTTGGCAGAGTCAGATTTGTGGAGTGGAAGAGGAAAAGGGATAGAGAGACAGAGAAGCTGAGCCTGCTTTCCTGGCTGCAGGCTTTCAGCCCACAGGAGGCTTGAATTCTAAATCGAACTCAGTGTTTTGATTAAAATCCAATTTCTGAATTGAGATAGTGTTTGCAGCTTAAAGTGGCCGTAGTTCTGTCTAGTAAATAAGGTCCAATAGAAAAATTCTGACACTGAATTTCTTCCATGAAAAAGCAAACCAGTATTATGCAATGAAACATTGCACATTCAACAGTTGAAGGACTTCTTAGTGGGTTAAGTAAAAAAGAAGTCAGTTATAGATTTGAAACTTGCCAGTTAATTCTGAAAGTATTTTCATTAGCAGAAGAAATTGTGTTTTAAAATGAATGGGGAAACTTTCTGGAACCGAACTGTATTTACATGTGATAACTATTCTCAGAAAGAAGTTGAGGTAATTATATAGGCAAGGGCTGGAAATTTACTGTCATTATTTCCCTGCTAGCTGTTGTACTGAAAAGTTCAGTCCCCACAGAGCAGTTCAGAAACAGCTAAGAAATGCACATCACCTCAGGAAGTTAAAATTATATCCTAATGAAGCTCTGGGATTGCAATATGGATGTATTAGTTTCATTGCATGCCTTGATTTTCTGACACAGCCAAGAATAGTAGTTATGCATGCTTGTTGCTTTGGAATTAGAACATGAATTCTAGTTCAATGCCCCATGGGCAGTTATTTAATTGTAGTCAATAACTTTCTGTGACCCAAGTGTCCTGAAATACTAACCGTAATGTCCAGAGATTGCTTAACAGACACAGCTAATAGAAAGAGAGTGACAATATAAATGAAAAAATTTTCCTTCATACTCTGGTAATGTAGCAGGAAAAAAAATCCAACAGTGAAATAAGAGGGAGTTCCAGAGAGTTCTAAGTACCCCTGTTTCACAGGGCATCAGATCAGTGACATACCTGTTCCTCAGGTATTTTCATGTATTACTAATACACACATTTGACCTGTACCATAAGAAAGACATCTGTGAAGAAGAGAAAAAGACATTTAGTGTTTCCACTATTGCAAAGGACTCTTCTGCTACTTATGTCTGGATTTAAAGTATGCTTTTATGGAAGCTGCTCTATTGTCTAGGACGTTCATTAATTCCAACTGTAGACTTAACATTATTATTTCAGAAACCCACCATGGCAGAGTCTGGCTGGCTGTTCATCATATGTATTTTATTTCTTCCTGGGCTAGACTACATTTCATGGCCTGTCTTGTAGTTGGGTGGCTCAGGAGAGTTCTAATCAGTGGAATGTGAATGGAAGTGATGTGCATGAAATGTCCCCTTTTCTGCCAGCTTTATTATGTGTTGAACATGTCAGAACTCTAACGTGGAGAAAACTCTCTAAGCATTTATAAGGATAAGTGCTTAGAGGAGGGATGCCTGCCATTCAGAACTTTACCTGGATGAGAAATATACTTCCATTGTTGTGTGCCAGGATAGCTTTTTGTATTTGTTGTAGTAGTTGGTGTTAACACTATATTCCCATTTATGGTAAAAGAATTTTAGTTTGCTGACTACTCGCTATGTTTTAGATACTATCTACTATTTCACCACATTTAATTCTCATAAGCTGTTTAAGTGGTCATAACATTTCACAAATGAGGAAATTAAGGTTTAGAAAAGTGGAGCAACTTGCCTGAGACATAAATTCTGCTAAGAAGGACTTGAATGCAGGTCTACAAATCTGTTCATGTGTTCATTAAGCCATCCTAAGAGATGAGTATGTATGAATTACACATAAGACACAGATTTGTCTATTTGCTCATTCTCTGAACTTATTTAACAAACACTTAATCTGTGTATCCTTCGTGCCATCTCCTATCCTAGACACTAGAGACAAGATGCCTTTTTCTTTACAACAGAGAAGCAGTAACTGATGTCTTGAAATTCAAAATGTACCATGTTGTTTAAGTTTGCTCCCAAGAAATGGTGGAAGTACTAAGAAATAGCTCTCAGTATTTAATTTACTCACTGGTAGGCAAGAAGAGTGAATACTTTTCTTAAGATGCATAAATTACTAATAAGAGATCTTAGCCTTAAGAATTTCTGGCTTCATGACAGCTTTCTTTCTCTCCTAAACTTAGAAGGGATATATTCCCATGGATGAACATGATACTGCTCCCAGTATTAGTGGGATGTGATGACAAATAAGAGAAGTGTGACATGCACTCTGTTTGGAGGACCAACATGCCACAATTGGCAGATTCTGCCAAATTAGTGATGGCAGTCTAGGAGAAAGAACAATGCTATTTAATAGCTTAGTATACATAAATAGTTCTATAACAAATAATACTTCTAAAGCTGACACGCTTTTATTATGGAAATTTTTGAAACTCCTGCAGAAGAGCAAAGTAGAGCAGAAATAAAAGTTGGTAATTTTTCAAATACGTGAAACACAGAACATAATCCATTGTACTTTATACGACACTTAATTTTAGGATTTAATCCAGTTAAGATTCAAAGTAAACTGATGAGACTAACAGAACTATTTCGAGTCAGTATGCTCAAAAGACCAATTTGTTTTTCACAAATGTTTGTTAAAACTGGAAACAAATGAAAATTGATGAGATACCTAGTAATTCAGAATGCCACAGCTTCCAGAGTTAAATATTTAAAAGAGCTTTCAAGACACTCTTAGTGCTGGTGTCATAGGGGAGTTCTTCCTTAAAAATAAAAAGTGGGTTGGGTTACTGCAGAATAAAAATATGACCCATTTTTGTGTTTACAGCAAGAAATCTGTAACTGAATCATTTTGCCAGTAGAGACTGTTAGAGGTCTGATAATTATGGGAATAAATTAGGTATATTTTATACACAGATAAACTAAATACAATTAGGGTAGTCTATGTATATTAATCACTTCATGACCTGCTGGGAAATAGGAGAAAAGGGAAGAGCAGCAATTGAGGACTTTTCTCTTAGATGGATTGTGTATCTTAAAATGGCAAAATTTGATCTAGAGTGATCAGGGAACCGTTTCTCTTACAAATGGAGAATACTGACTTAAAAAAAAAAGCCTTTCTTTTTTACTAGGTTTCATACTTCTGTTCACAGTCCCAACAGATGTGCATTTCATAAGAGAAAAGATGTGGACATAGATGTATAAATAGAATTCAATATGTAAGTTTCAGGGATATAGTATAAATGAATGAAAACTATGACAAATATGGTCGGGAAATGGAAAAGCAGAGGGAAATCCACGTCAGGAGAAACTCTTCTACAGAAAGTTGTCAAAAGCATTAGTAAGAATCTTGCAATGGGAGAAATAGCAGGTACACCAACAAGTCTAGAATCATGTGGCAAAACAATAGTTTCTTCAAAGTGTTCCAGAAGCGACAAAACGACAGAGTCAGAAAAAATAAACTTTCGTAACTTTATGGAGTACGCTGTAAGAGAAAATACGGCCATTTTGCAAAAACAGTAGTCCATATACAAGTATTCTCAGGAGCCATGAACTTCAAAAGAAAAAAACGGTGTGTCGTCTTGTGGTGAAAGCAATACATCATGGCCTCCCCAAAGTCGATGGAAACAGATATTCCGAAAAAGGGGGTGATTTTGAGTGAGTTACGATGCCTCCGCAACTGGTGTGCGGTGTATGGCGATGACTGAACACAGGAGCTCGGAGGCAGGCTCTGCCGAGTGAGTCCCGGCCTGGACGGCGAGGTCAGGCTGGTGGGGACAGGCCGCACGTCGCCAACCGACCCCAAGGCGCAGAGAGGCGGGCGCGTCCCCGCCGGGCCCGCGCTCTCGGGTCACCTCCGCACCCCGGGTGCCCAGGTGCGGGCCCGCGCGGTCCCAGAGCCGCGGGGGCGCGGAGGGGGTGGCGGGCTCCTCCCCGGGAAGGCACCTCCGCTCCGAGCCTCGGGCGCCCGCCGCGGCCACGAGGGCGCAGGGAAACCCAGGACTTCCCGCCCAGGAACGGCGGCACCCGTTCGCGGCTCGGCTGGCTGGGGGATGTTCTCGCGAGAGGAGAGGGGGCGCAGGGCGCCGCGGGTTTGGGGGGCGCGGGGAAGCCTGAGGACGAGGGCGCGGTCGGGAGGGGAGCTAAGGCGGCGGGCAGGGCCGGAACGCGGGGAAGCCGCTGCCGCCAGTCGCCGAGAGCCAGCCCCTGACGTCAGGAGTTTTCCTCAAAGTCAACAACAAGCCCCGCGGCAGCGGCGGCGGCGGCGGCGGCGGCGAGAACCGACCGGCGGCGGCAGCCCCGAGAGGGAGGAAGAGGGGGCGGCGAGGCAGTGGGATCCTCCCGGCGAGGCGCGGCCGGGCGACGAGGCCGCAGCCCCCGATCTGCGCCGGGCGCCCTAGGATCCGCGCCGCCAAACTGCGGCCCCCGCCCGAGCGTGTTTTCTGGCGATGAATTGAATTTGTAGCCGATATCCGATTCCCACGTAGAGTCTCCGCCTCCTCCGCCCTCCGCCGCCTCCCTCCGCCCTCCCCCCGCCGCCGCCGCCGCCGCCGCCGCCGCCGCCGCCTCCCGCTCCAGCTCCGCGGCCAGGCACGGCCGGCTCGCTCCCTCCCTCCTCCCTGCAGCCTTCGCCTGCCCTCCCGCCGGCCGCTCCGGGCTCAGGGGGGCCTTAGGCTCTGCGGGGTGGGGGGAGGACAGGAGGGGAGGAGGAGGGAGGGGGGACCCCCGAGTCGCCCCCTCTCCTCCCCCCGCCCCCCCGGCTCCATCGCCGCCGCCGCCCGAGCAGCTGTGGGGCCGCCGCCGCCGCCGCCGCCGCCGCCGCCTTTGCAGGTAACAGACACCGCCCCCACTCTCGCCCCCTCCCCGCCTAGCCTCCACTCCCCTGGGCCCCCGGCCCCGTCCGCCCTCGCGCCCTCCCGGCGGGCTGGCGCGGGGTGGGGTGGGGCGGGGGCGTCTGGCTTGTCACCGCGCCGGGGGCGTGGGCGGGGGCTGGGTCCCGGCGGCTGTGGCTGTGGGTGGGGAGTCCGGGGGATGCCCGGCGCGGACGACTCGGCACCCGCTCTTTCCGGGGGAAGCTGGGGAGCGGCGGGGAGCGGGGGCCGAGGAGGGTGTTCCCGGCCTAGCGGTCCAGCCCGCGTCGGGGCTACCCTGGCCCTAGCGCCTCCGGTCTTTGCGCCACTCCCGCGCCCTCCTCCCCGGGCCGCAGGGCGTGGGGAGGGGGCGCCGCGCGCCCGCGGGTGGTGGCGAGGTTACATAACGCGCGGAGCGTGTCCGTGTGTTTGGGTGTGGGGGGAGGGGGCCGTCTGCGCGCGCGGGGTGGGGTGCGGCGAGGATGCGCCGGCGTCCCCGGGGTCCCCGTCCTCCCGCAGCGCCCTGCCGCCGGCGCGCAGGAAAAGACGGTGCTGCGGTAGGGGATGTGGGTAACGTGCTAGTCTGTGTTTTTAATAGTAGTGGGGTTTTAATCCTCTTGGGAGTGTGTGCTAAGAATAGAAATGTGCGGAAGATGCTGGGTTTGGCGATCAGCGATGCTGTCGCTACTGGCGGCGGCCGCTCAGGCTGCAAGTAAACAAACCAGCCTCTTCCTCGTCCACCTCCGCCTCCTGCGCATCGGTCTGCATCAGCCATGATGCCGATTGGGCCCTCGGAGCGCAAAGTTGAAGCCTGGCGGGTGTCTGTGTCCACCCTGACACCTAGGCGTGGGTCACCACTCGTTCGGGATTTCCCGGGACTGTACAATTAGGCTAGACTGACTCTCCTTGGGGCCAGGTTTTCAATCCTGATATTTATTGTTTATACGCTGAAAGCAGAGGAAATGCTGACCTGTAGTCCAGGATAGGGTGCTCATATTTCTTCCATCAAAATACGGCTATGAAAATAAAACCAACCCATTTCGCCAGTGTGGTGACTGGTTGAAAGCCCAGTAGCTTGTAGTGGATGACATTTCCAAATAGAAATTCAACAGGGACATCTGTATTGATTAATTACTAGTATTGGTAAAACGGGATATGAAATAATGACTTATTGCAGTTAGTACGTTGCCAGTTGCCCCAAATCCTTAATTTAGGTATGTGCTCCATATTTATTAAAGCATGGTTGTGACAGTATCGTTTGGTTGACTATAAATCACTAGACAACCACTGGGTTTTGTTTTTGGTGGAAACTCATTGAATTAGGTTATACATTGTTAGGAAATAACTGTAAAAGCAAAAGGTAGAAGAATCCAATAAAGATGGTTTAGGAAAGTTTGTCCTGAGAACTTGAGTATCATTGCAAAGAATGTATAAATGAATGTGAATATTCCAGGAGGTGGTTGTCCAAAACACAAACATACATATTCAGGAGGAAATTGTCTAAAATATGAAAATACTTTTTATTAAAATATGTACCTGTTAGTAAATGAGTAATTTTCCAAAGCAAATGAATGCCCTATTATTTGCAAGATACTTATCAGGACTGTAGTTTTTTTTTTCTTTTGCCAATACATAATCTTGACTTGGAAAGTTTACCCAAGGAGACTGAAGATTGTTTGTTTTTCTGTTTAGTGTTGACCCCAGTGTCTTTGATTGGCTTGAGCTTCTAATTTTAAAGTGAGGGAGTGCATGTATAGCACATGAATGAGACAGCATTGGGATTCAGATGATTGTAGACGTTTTAATTTTCAGTTGAATGTTTGCACTATGTATTTGTAAGGAGTATGTTTTCTTATCTAAAGTGATTCTCTGAAAAAATTTTTGAAACCGTTATTTGTATTTTGTCTCCTACATCCTTCGTTCCCATAATGATTACTTCAGTGAATTGTTTTCCAACTTAATTTTTAGTTTGACTTTGACGCTGAATTTAAATTGCTTATGTCAGTGTACTGAAGGGTTCTGCTTTGGACTTATTTCATGTGATTCTAGAGCTGTAAAATGTTTTAAGTAAGATTTCATTCATTCATTCAACAAATACTGAGTGAACTGTGTGCCACGGGCTGGTTTAATGAAAAACTTTTCTTATTTATATTTTATAATATCCAGAAGATCACTACCACTAGAAAGAGAATTTGTTTTCAGAATCACTGCAAATCTAAACATGTTGGTTAAACATATGAGAAGTGTATCTAGCACAGTTTTGTACAAAGTAGATTTAAGATTTTAAAAAATTCTAGCTTTTGTTTTAAACGACAGATTTTCTTACAAAAATTCAATGGAAATTTACAACATTTGGTATTTTTTTAAAAGAGGAACCTGTTTTAGAAATTGATTTTGTGGAAGTTTAGAATTTACTTAAACTGCATGTTTTTGTGAAGAGATAGCTGTACTTTCTTTTGTTGTTACACTTGTTAGTTCAGGAATTCACCCTTGGGAGGAAAAGGCAATTATGTTAGTGATGTGTTAATTGGATTTTTAGAATGATTTGATAGTATCTTGTCTTTATAGTGTGATTAAGTTTCAAGCATTGAAAAATACTTAATTTAAAACCATTTAGATTCAATAACATAAGATCCAAGATAGAAAAATAAACCATTTCACTTTGCTTTGACTAAATCAGACTTATAATTTGACATGCATTTTTATTTTTCTTAAATTAATATAAGTTAATGCACATAATTTTTATACATTTGTGTTAGCCTGTTGAAATCATATAAAATTGCTCTGTTTTCAACTACAGGTTTCAGAGTTTGTATCTGTTCTAAATCCTGGTTTCGTACAGTATGCACTTTTCTCTGGTTGCCTGGAAAGCTAGACCTGAATTGTCTGATGTTAACTCAATATTTTATCATGGTCTTTTTCCCATGATAGAGCTAGATTCAGGTTAGAGTTAATGCTAGCCAATGCCTGGTGGGCACTTGCCGTGTGCCAGGCACTGTTGTATGTGCTTAACAGGTATACATTGATTTAACCTTTAAAACAGTCCCTGCTCCATTTTTGAAAATGATTTTCGTATGAGAAAACACCTTGGCATCCGTTTCATTTTAACTTTCCTAATTCTGAAACACCTTTTCTCTTATTAGCGTTTTTCCTAACTTGTTGGTACCTATTATTAGAATTCACAGCGACAATGCTAAATTTCCATAATGTAGTATTTCCACAGAAATCAACTGAATAAAGAGTATATTGACTGATCGATAACATTCTTTTTCATTTTAGTTGTTTGAAAGTGCCAAATTAAATGCCTCAGATGTTTACATATTTTATTGTAGCACCATATTCTCTCAGCATATTAGATGTAAACACATTTCCTTTGCCAGGTAGTCATGTAGTCTATAGGTAGCTCTTGACCTGTAGATTTGCTTCCTAGTTCTTTTTCTTTTCAGTACTTTTTTTATATTTAATTCATTACCAACTGCAAGCATTCCACATTTCTAAATGGGCATATTTTGCTAAAATTCAGAGGGAAAGTAAGATGATTTAATAAAAGAAATGACTCAAAGGCTTTCAGATCAGAATTTGGGGAGTTGGGGGAATGGAAAGAGGGGGAACATGGTATTTTGCCATTATTGAAGTTTAGTCCAGATTTTGCCTTAAGTGGAATTATTGTTTGAATGTTTTATCTTCCCAACTATATATTAAATTTAATGATGACAGGAACTTTGTATAATCATGATACTGTCATCTAAGATGCCATCTATAAGTGAAGTGGATACTCAGTAGATTTGAACTTGAAGAATCATAAATATTAGCTCTTGAAGAGCTGTGGAGCTATACAGAGTTCATGTAATGCTATGGTTTCATTTTTATGGCTAAGGAAACAGACACAGTGAATTGCAGGACCTTATATAGCATCACTTGGGGAGGGGCACAGTTGGGAACAGGGACCCAACTTCTTCACCCATCCAGTGCTCTTTCTAATGCACCACTGTGGTGTACTTTGTCATAGGATTCCATGTCTACTGGTAAACTTTAGTTTAATTGGGGGTGGAATCTGTCAGACTGATTCTTGACATGTAATGTTCCATGTACCAATTGTACTTTGTGTATATGTGTGGATTTTTTTCATTCCCCAAGGCAGATTTTAGGAGGAGGATTTTACATATGTAATGGAAAGTAATGGCCAACTGTGCAACTGAAATTCCCCCTGTCTATTGTTACTGGTGCCTTCACACAGAGACAGGACACACTTCACCCGAGAAATGTAGGGGATAATTTGCCCACAGCTTGTTCAGTGGTTTAGGGAAGCCAGAGGAATCCAATATGCATTTTTCTAGTCATTTCAAATTAGAGTATTAAATGTATCACCCTAGCACGAGTTGCTTTATTTGATTAATGATGGATGTGTCAGTTGAAATAGCACTGAAATGTCTTAAACAGGGGGAGGGAATCAGGGGAAATGCTCTGTTTTTCTGTATATATTTCAAAGTTTTTAAAGTTGACTTTTATGAGTTTTTAGAAAATTCTTGGAACTTTGAGAAAACCAATATTTTGTGTGAAAGTTAGAAATCTTTTATGTTTATTCAGGTATCTTCCCATACATAGTGTGAAACTGTGAAGATATGACAGAAGGAATTTAAAGAAAATCCACAAGTGAATTATTATACTCTGAAGAAAGGAAAGGTATACCAAAATAGAAATAGTTTGTTTGGCTCACTTCCCTGTGTGATATGTTTTTTTAACAGGATAACAACTCTGAAAAGGGAGAGATTGGCTTAGAAGTGCAGAGCAAGTTGCCTTGAATTTCCCTTGCACTTCAGTATTTTTCCTTTCCCTCAAATCTTTAAAAAAGTTTTTTATAGCCTTATGCATTTATTGTGGCATGTTTTAGTTTCATCTCTTTCTTGAAATGACTAAATACCAAAGAATGATATTAGTTACCCTTGACCATAATTTGTATTTTCAAGTAGCAGCATTCTGTTATATTTGGACATCAGTGATCTTTTATTAATTCAGATTGGCTACTGTATCTAAAATCTATGAAAAATTGTGGTGCAGAGCAAGTATATTGTACATAGTGTATTAATCATAGCCAATTTTATAGTTTACAGAAAGTTGTACTGTAGAATTGTATTGCTGACTTTTCACTTAGAAATTAACACAAAGGGAATCATTGACCTAAGCATTTTGTTCGTACTTGTAAGAAAGAGTTGCTGGGGTGCCTTACAACTTTATGTTAACCTACTTTTAGTTTTCCATTATAATTTTGTGATGCCACAGCATCACTTAATTTTGAATTCATTTGAAAACATTGTGCTTTCCTGGACTTCTGAAAAATAATTAGATATTAGCAAATATTATACATATTTTTGAGAGTTCATATTGTGTATCAGCATACCAAACTGTTAGAAGAAATGAACTGCAGGTACTCTTGTTACTTGTTACTAACTTGTTATGGTAACTGGGGAAATAATGGCATTATTGGTTGGTCACAGTTTTCCTAGGTTCAGAATTGTAGCTGCAATGGCTACTGCACAGATTCCGTTTTTAGAGTCATATGAGGTGATATATGTGAAAGCACTGTGATTATAAATTATTGTAGATTTGAAAAAGATTTTTAAATACTTTGCTTTCCTCCCGTATAGTTATTTAGTCCTTGTCACGGAGTAGACAATCAATACATACTTATTGGATGTATTAATGTGTGTGTATTATATGTTTTCTTGAGTGAATGATACTTAGTTTTAGTTTGCTTATACTATTAGTTTGCTTTCTAGTCTCTTCTTCATTAGTCATCTAAAGCTGCATCTTCATTCTTTCATTCATCCACTCAATTTATTTGTACCCTAGTTGCTGAGCCTATCTTCTGTGCCAAGTACTGCCAAACTGCTTTACTAAATAGTAGTGCTATTGAGTGAGGTAAATTTTGTGATTAGTGAAGTGACATTCAAATGCAATTATTGTTATCAAATTTTCAGATCGTTCTGAATGGAAGTTCCTTTAGTATAACTGCTTTGTGTAAATTCTAAATTGTATCTGACAAGAATTTTGTGTGAATTTTTTATAAGAACAGGAAAAATTAGATTTTTCTAATTTTCAAGAAATGCCCTCATTTCTTGATTCCTGACTGCTGAATTAGATTATCTAGCAATGAAATGTTTAATGCAATAGGCTTAAAAGAATAATGAACTAAATTTTGTCTTTCATAGACCATTGCATAGAACACATAGGATGGTAGGAGGAGGTAAGGTTCACTCTACCTTAGGAAACAGATTACAGATCCCAAGTTCAGGACATCATTTTGGAGATTAGGTTTTCTATAACACTGAGTGGGAGAGTGTAGATGATTTGGTTTAGAGTGTTGCTGCTGTAGAAAAAGTAAATTGAATAATATGATTTACTACTTAAGAGTCAGCATTGGCTTTATACACTGAAGATGGCATTTATTTCTAGCTTATTAATCATAATTGTAGAGTGCTGTACCTTTGAACATCTTCTTTATATCCAAAGAATATATTATTTTAGCCAGTAGAGACTCAGGAGCAATTTTAAAACTGAACATTATGATTAGGGGTAGAATTTTGTGACATTTTAAGATGTAAATTGATAGAACCATTTCTGGGTTCACTGGCCCTGATGAAGATTATCAATTTGTCCTTAGATTTAACATACATTTTACAGTGTAAATTATTTAAGCACTGGTGACTATTCTAATCTCAACTAGTTTTTGAAAGAGTTTCGTTTTATAACAGTTCATCGATTTTGGGCTGATCTAGATATTTCAGTATATTGTTCTGTACTGAAGAGGCAATGCTAGTAGAAAAAGCATGTGTCTGGTTCTCTGGTCTTGATTCTCATAAAATCACTATGACTTTGGGCAAGTCACTTACCTGTCTTGACCTTTGTCCTCAACTGGAAAAGTCCCCTTCCAGCTTAAGATTCTAACAATCAAGTGTCCACTTAAAAGTACAGAATCAATTTTGAAAATACTCTTGTTTTTGTAGTGTTCTTTTTAAGGGTATTGTGATGCAAATTATCTTAATAGGAAAGTATGTATTTTATAATGTTAATTGATATGTATTATTTTTTGACTATTACTAAGTGTTGATCCCTGATTTCTTCCATTTCCAATATCAAGAAAATGAATTTTAATATACAAATTTTCTTTTTATTCAGATTATACAATTTTATAGTCAGAAATCAAGAATGGCTTTAATAGATGTGAGGCCCCTTACACAGACTGCAAGTATTACCAAAGAGAAGGTCTGCAGTGCACCTCTTCTAAAGACGATATTTTGCACTAGTATTCCCAGTGTTTATGACTTATAATTATTTACATTATATAAAGAGTTAACCCTTTCAGTTCCTTAGCTGTATATTATGTAGCTTGTTGACCCTATTGAGGTCTTCAGGAAGTTACATAAATCAACTTAAAAAGATGTTTGGATTCTTAAGGTTTTTTTTTTTTTTTGCCTGCTTTTAATGGTGAAATGGGTCTTGAATTATGTGGTCATTTCCTGTGGTCATTTCTCAAAGTATGTTTCTCTGAACATCAGTACATTTACTAAAGGAAAAAAAAGAGCCCTGTGTGTTCAAATAAGCTTAGGATTTGCTGAGATAAGTAAGATAATATTTTGCACCTTTGATATGTTAATAATGATGTTTCAAGAGAAAGACATGGTTTGTAGAATTTCCCAAGCTTACTTAGCCAAATAATTTTTTTTCCAGCTTCCTTTTTCTTTGTATTTTTCTGGAATTCTGTTAGTACTGTGTCAAGCATAGTTTGGGAAAATACCTCCAGATTCTAATATCCCTTTTGAATCAGTAACAGACACTGAGGATTTTGACAGCCTTGGCCTCACCTGAAGGTGCTGCCCTCATCCCCAGGGCACTGCATGCTGTGATCCTCTCTTCGGCCATACAAACTTTGTCAGTGTAAGAGATTGTTAGTCTTGATTCCTGACTGCTAAATGATTAGGCTCTGCACTTAATATGCATTGGAAAAAGAGCTGTAATTCAGTTCAGTGCTACCTGCGGAGTCTAATCTTGAACTTAACTGCTATGAACTATTTTTCAAAACCCAATTTGAGGAAACAGTATATATTCCATCCACCCATTTTTCTGGTCATAAAATTATGCCTGTGTTCCTGGACCGTGTAATGCTGATGTACCTGGACGTTTTTGGGTCCCTTTTTTGTGGAAGTGCTGTTAACTCAATTTTATCTTGGCATTTTCCTTTTTAGATTGAGAGGGACAATAAGAAGTAGCCCTGTCATTGCTATGTATATGTAAGGATATTTTTAAGGACCTTGTTTATTATACAACAAGGTATTTTATAAAGATCCATGGGACAAATTTCAGATTTTGTCCCAGGAAGAACTGTATTTTTTCTGAGCAACTTCTTTTTTAAAAAATATTTATGGATACTGTAAATACTAAAACTAATTGTGTTTCCTTCTTGGCATTGCTTCCTGCAAGCTTGGTGCTAAATTTTTGGTCCATCTTTCACTAATACATAGACTTTTACTCAGGTTTCCATTTATCTTTACTTAATTAAGGCAGTACAGTTTTAGGGTTAAGGATGCAGGCTGTGGAATCAGACATCCTGGGTTCAGATCTTGGCTCTATCATTTATTAGCTGTGTTGAAATCAGGCAGTTTAATCTCTCCAAGCATCAGTTTCCCCATCTGTGAAATGGTGTTCATAATACCCTCATAGGATTGTTGTGAAGATTACCTGAGAATAATAGATGTAAGCACCTATAATAGTTTAATAGTTCTTGACACATCTTGAATACTCCATACTTTTTTCCACTTTCATGTTCACTTTGTTTCAGTTTGTCTACTTGGTTATACATTATTTATAGTATTTTATTTACTGTATCTAAAATTTTGTTGCAATCATGTTATGGTAATCTAAAGTATTTCTTGTAATGAGGCAGAGTATGCATACATAAATGTCATTTTTATAGCACATTGTATTTTACATAAAATAAGCAATTAAAAACATTCACAATTGCTTTGCCATAACTATTTCTGAATTTACAAGGATTTTGAAACTAGAGGTGCATGAAGATTTAGTTCACTTTCATTCCCTTCCCTTTTTATCTGTAACACAGAGCCCGAATAGTTTTTCTGGATTATTTCTGTAGGTGTGATGGTGGTTTCCTTAAGACATTTTTTGTTGCAAGCTCTTAGATAAAAAGTTTCACTATCATTTGAAATGTCACAAGACCAGGGAAGTGCATTCATTATGGAACTATATAATAAATAAGTTCCCCAGTTTAAAGAGCTAGACTTTTATGTGAGGTCAGGCCTGTTGAAGACATTTACAAAGAATTAGTTGTTTGTTATTGCTATGTGAGTTGCAAGAATGGAAAAAAAAGAAATTCTTTTCTTCAATACTTCCTTCCAGGCTGAGTCATCACTAGCGAGTGGGAAGGGCAGCCGCAGTGAAGTCGGACCCCAGAACTGGTATCACAGAGTAACCTTTCTCCAGGTTGGGGGCTCAGAGGGGAGTCATCATGAGCGATGTTACCATTGTGAAAGAAGGCTGGGTTCAGAAGAGGGGTAAGTGTTCAACAAGCCGAAAATAATATGGTTGGTAAGTGTGCTAACAGTGCTGTTAGGGAAGTTGATATATTTTTGATGCTGTTAACAAAGTAAACTGTGACATACTATGTCCAGTCAGAGAGAAATGATTCCCATGTGTGTTAGAAATTTGCTTGTTATGTAGGAATTCTTTATAATACATGATTTTGATCACTTGTCATTAAAGTTATGAAGGTTTGGCTTTTTGGTATGTTGTGTGTGTGCATGTTACAGAAAGTCTGCGTCGTATTTTTCTGTTGTCCACAGGTTTTACAGTCCAGAGAGATGCCTTTGAATGATTTAATATCTAGAAAAGTGTCTAACTTGTATGCATTTGAAGATGTGTAAATATATAATAAAAGTACTCAGTTACAGTAAGCCAATTTAGGTGGTGGTGGGGGATGGACTTAAAGTAGCCAAGAAGGAAGGGTTCACCCACAAACTCAGGGATTCAGCAACCCCATAAATTCAGTGAGAAAATCCTGAAGTAAAAGACCAAATGAGGAAAGGATTTTTGTGTGTGTGTTTATGCTTACTTCCATATTTTTATTTTTCATGATCTACTTTCAGCATTTCTTGTTCACTCTGACTTTAGATACAATTCATGTGCATTCTTCTTTTTTAATACTAAATGAAGAACTCTTCAATGTAAAGCATAGTTTATCTTCTGTGAAATCACTTGCTAGTGTGGTCAATGTGTTTATTAGAAATCTAGAGTTTAGACTAGTTGCTAGGCAACTGCTGTTTATCCACATGGCTAAGTTCAGTAGGATGAGGACTGTTCCATTCTCAGGTCTTCTCTAAGTTCCTGTACATCTATTTTCTGGTTAGAAGTTACCTCTCAAATAGTGATTTTAGTATTCTTTGAAGGTTTGTAGTTAATACCTGTGATGAAAAGTGATTGTCAGTAGTTAAATGTGATTATGTATTATAGAGTTTTTAAGAATAGTCTCATTGAGTTATAATTTACATACAATAAAATTCACCAATTGTGAGTGTGCCCTGTGATAACTTTTGCTGCCTTTATCCAGTAGTGTAACAAAGAGTACTATTGTCCTGTGGATCACTGTATCAGATCCAAAGGCCCCCTCCTTCCTCTGAAGTTGGACCTCTCCTCCTCTCAGCCCTGGCAGCCACTCATCTGGTGTTACCATAATTTTGCTATTCTAGAATTTCATATAAGTAGAGTCATACAATGTACAGTCCTTTGTATCTGGTTCCTTTCACATAGCATAGTACTTCAAAGATTCTTATCATTAGTATGTTTCTTTCATTGTTGAGTACTATTTCAGAGTCTGGACATACCACAGTTTTATCTGTTTACCAGTTAGTTTGATGAACATTTGGGTTGTTTCCAGCTTTGGGCTGTTATGAATAAAGCTGCTCTAAATATTCGAGTTCTTGCACACATCTTTGTGTGATATGTTTTATTTTTCTTGGACAGTGACCTAGGAATGAGATTGCTGGGTTACATGGTAAGTGCATGTTTAACTATAAAACTGCCAAGCTGTTTTCCAAACTGGTTGACGTTGTATTGTTACATTGAATTTCTTTCATGTTATTAAAAATGCTATAATAATGTGTTGGTGGTATAGTGGTGAGCATAGCTGCTTTCCAAATACTTATTTGTATTATAAATATATATTGTAAATTGTATACATTTGTAAGGCATTTTCAGATTTCAGTGTTGTGTGAACATTTTTTTGGTTTATTTTTTTAACTTGTCTATTATATTAATGTTACCTTCCCTCCTTCCTTTGGGGCAGCAAATCACTTAAACCTTTTAGAGTTTCACCTTATTAAATTCTAAAATCTGCTCTCACAGGATTATTTTGAGGATTAAATGAGATAATAGAAAAGGATGTGTTTTGACATTTCAGACACAAATGTAAGCTATTGCTGTCACCACATTTTATAAAGGATTTAGGGTGGTTCTTGAGTCTATTTAATTAACTGTGTCTCATCTGAAATACCATAACAGAAGGCTTGTACATAGTGCATGGGTTACAGAAGAAAGAAAAAATGAAAAAAAATTCATATTTTTCCTGCTTTGGTTAGGGAAGGTGGAGTCTAATAATTTGTGTGTGTGTGTTTTTTTTGTTTGTTTGTGTGGGTGTATTTATTTTGGGAAGTAATAGTCATACAAACATAAGATAGTTTACAAAGGTATAAGAAAAAAAGTAAAAATCTTTCTACTCTACCTCTTCCAACTAGTTTCTCCCCTCAGAAGATAACTGTTTTAGACTTTTTCTGCTTTTAATTCTTTTATAATTATCATCCCAATTTTATATATAATATGCTAAGCTTTAGTTTTGGCTAATCTTCAGTGACTAGTATATTCCTATTGTGAAAATGAAGAATATAACTTTTAATACCTGTTCTCTATTCTCCCCCCTCTCTTTTTTTTCGGTCTTTATGGTTAAACTTCTGGCTTTTGCACTATTAATTCTAGAAAGAATTTAGACATCATATCTAAACTTGCCACTTTCTGAGTTGAGAGAAATTAGTACCTCTCAGAATCTTTCCCTTGACTTCCTCACATTTCCTTCCCAGTTTATGTTAATTACTTTCTGTTGTCAAAGTTTGTAGTAGTAACATTTGTTGATTCTGGAAAGCTATAATCAACATGAGGATTATATAGGTAATGCTACTGCTAAACAGAGAAGTGTTGTGGGATCCATAGAGAACAGATGAGTTTCTTATACTCTGTTGGTATTCAAGGTCATGCCATACTTTAGTTTGGTTGTACTGTTTTTCCTAGATTTTCTACTTGCATGTTTTCCAATTTGTAGAAGAACATAACCCACCTTCATCATATCACTTGGTTATCCAACTTTTTAAATAATACTGTTTGTTGAAATTCTAATATGAACTGGCTTTTTTCTGGGTGTGATGCTAATATATTATTTAATTGAATTCTTAGACAAATTCTATGCTTTCTTAGATCTCATATCTTTCATCTTTTCGTTTTGCACTTATTTTACACTTTTCTGGAGTACTTCCTGAAGGAAATTTTTCAAAAAGAATGTGTGTGGGTGCTTGTCAACACAATGTGTGAAAATGTCCTTTTCACTTTCACAGCTGGTACATACCTTGGCTGGGTATAGAATTCAGTTTTAAAGTCACTTTCCTTCAGAATTTGGAAGGTTGCATTCCATTACCTTTCAGTAACCAGTTTTACTGTTACAAGGTTTAATGCCAGTATGAGTAATTCCTTGTAGGTAACCTGATTTTGTTCTGGAAGCATTTTTTGTTCCTGCCTCTCTATTCTTGCCATGAAATTGAAGGAGAATAAGTTAACAGTCCTTTTCAGTTCATCCTGTAAAGCATTTGGTTTACCCTTTGAATATGCAGGTTAGGTCTTCTTCAGTTCTAGGAAATATGTACTTTCATAATTTCTTCCCTTGTAAAAGTCTCTGTATTCTCTCATCGCTTTTTCTCTAGAGCTTCCTATGTCAATGTTCTGTTTTAGAAGTTTCATTTCCATGTCTTTATTTTTTCTCTTTGCTCTGGGAGACATCCTTGACTTTTTCTTCCAGCCATTTATTGAATTTTTTATTTCAGCTATTATTTTATGTTTCTGGGAATTCTTTCTGTGTATAACTACTTGGTTTTATTTTACAGATATATCATCTTTAATCTTAGAATACTAAATAGATTTTGTTTTCCAGGTTCTTTCTTCCATTTGAGTAACTTTTTCAGTTTGGTTATTTTGGTATTTTTTTGGTGGTGTTAGTTTTCTTCACATGTCTGGTGATCCCTGTTTGTCTGTTTATATTTGTGTATGAAAGACTTGGGTTACTGGTAACATCTTCTACCTACTTTAGAGCCTATGTATTTCCCCTATGCTTATGACAAATTCAGTCTACTGAGTGAGTAGTGTTTAACTGTACCTTGAAAGCACTGGTGGGAAAATTAGGGGAAACCAACATGGGCATTTTTTTCCCCTCCACCATTCTTAATTTAGTTCTTTGTTAATTTTCAGTATTAATAATAATTTTGTGATTTAGTCAAGCAAATTTCATTATACAGTCTCTTGTTATTTGTCTATATTTTGGTTCAAAGGATTTCTTCTAAGAGAGCATAATATTTGCTGCCTGTTTACTCTGGGCAGATTATCATCATCTGGACTTTGATACACCTGCTTGAAAATAAATATGGTAATAATATTTGCCTCTTTATCTCACAGTGTGGTTGTAATATGTGTAAAAGAGTATTTTTCAACTTAATAAAAGCTATTGACATAAAGAAGTTATAGTACTTATCAGTCCTTTTTCTCAAACCTGTATTTATCAATCAGTTATTAGCTCCTATCTAGATATAATATCATTTTACTTGTACTTTTAATGTGAGCACTTTGCTCCTCAGTGCTTTTCTTCCTGGAAAAGGGATAAAGACAATTAATGATATGTAGGATAAATGCTTTTCTTACTTTGGTTACTAGTGATGTATCAGTAATGAAACCTTTTCTTCTGTACTTTTCTGGAGCAGTTACAAAGGTGAATATTAATTGAGATAACACAGTAACACAGTATTGTTGGTGTTAGGAGACATCATATGGCAAACCTGGAGTAAAGTACTGCCTACATTTTCCTCCTGATGCTTCTGGGAGAGCATCTCACAGTCTTCTGTACGTCAGCATAGCAGACAGCCACATAACACTGGTTAAATTACCTCCTTCAGTGACTGGCCTATAGGTATATGTATGTTAGGTGACTCAAAATCTCTAAACCAGATGTATTAAAAAAAAAAACTAGAAAAGATGTCTAAAAAACCCCTAAAAAGCACAAAAAATGTTTTGCTGTCTTTGTTCCACTAAAGCCTAGTGGTGAAGAAACTTAACTGCATTAATAAAGTGGGAAATTTAACCAACTTAAGAGGTCTAATTGTGGAATTTTAAGTAGATTTTAATAATAACTGAAAGGAAAGGAGCGACACACAGCAGCAATTCACCGGAGAATTCCGCTTTATTAGGGAAA